AAGAGGACATTAAATACTACAGTACAAAATATAAATATAGAATCTTAGTTAAGCGAACTTAATCACTATATTAATTACAAATAGATATAAAGGTATTTATCACTTACAAATACTTGAAATAAGATTATAAATTAATAATCTTAAAGAATATTTCCATTTTACTGAAAAATTAAAATAATAATCAGGCTTAAATTTTAAATGAAATAATCTATATAAAGATCATAATGATAAAATAACCGTACAATTCATTATTAATAAAATAATGTTGACGATGATAACTTAATAGAGGAAATAACGAAAGATGTAATAGATTATTTCTATAATGCCCCGTTCTACTAATCATTACATTTATTTCACGAATCAATCCATTGAATAGCCTTGTCCACTAAATAATCTTTAGTGCATGACAGCGCCATATTGGACTCCACATAGTTTATCGTTTCCCTTCCAACTCGAATGAAAAATTTCATAACTTTTAATACTGCCATAAACGCCAGGTGAAAATCGAAAACTGTCATCATCATTGTGCTAAGTCCACGTGCTTTAACGACGGCATTCGAGGAGCGCTGACCTTGATCCTTAGCTCTTGACAATCGACTCGGTATCGAATTTCGACTTATTCCACTCGTTGGTCTCCCATAATCTCCCATAAATCCTTGGTAGGTGAAGGGAAGTAACAAGGGACGTCGTAGGGGATACTTAATAGTCTCCCTTTCCTCTTCTCCTGTACCGATTTGATATCGATTATCCGTCGGGGTCAATAATTGTTTAAAATTGCTCCCCAATACCCAATTGTTTTCTCCTTCGTTTCTTTCCTTCTTTATCGATCCTTTCAAGAACAAATGGTTGATCGATGGGCCAAGCCTTGTAGAATCGATAAACGACGAAAAAAGATAGATTCTTTTAAGATTAACAGGTGACATTTCAGTATCTCCAGATCTAAATAACCGATATTTATTATTATTAAGAATTCTAGTAGAATACTTGGAGAAGGCTGTATTAGAATTTGTCGAAACTTGATTCATATTATTATCTGTAGTAGTTGACAATTTTCCAATGGAATCTCTCAGCTTCCAGTTTCCATTTTCTCCCCAAAAGTGTGTTCCTTTATTATTTCTATTTTTCCAAACACCTGCATTCAGTGCTTTCTTCTTCGACGACAAGAAAGATCCCGGAAATCGACCGGAAGTCAACGGAGTATAGAAAGATTTTTTATTTCTTGATGGGGGCTCGACAAATGGATTCCTTATCCGATTCTTCGTGTTACGTTTGCGACGGGAATTCTTTCGGAGAGTCCCTACGAGCATCCATGCTCGCCCTGCCCGCCGAAACTCGGGATTCGACTCGTCGAACGCCCTCCCGCGACGAAAATCCTCACGTCCCTTCTTATCATTGAACTTTTTCATCGTATTACGGCCCTTAAATCGCGAATCACCGACGAACAGGACCCTCCGGGGAGGAAGCAGCGATTCCTGGCCTCCCCAGCGTGAGAACGCATTGCTCGTTGAGCTACCGGAAGCGCCACGATCTTTCCCCGGACGTAAAACTTTACGACGCGTATCCACTTCGGGGCCCTTCAATTTTCTGTTAAGTTCACGATCGCCTTCTGCTCGACTTCCTTTAAATTCAAGAGCGAGCGGAGTTTCGACGATCTCCGCGCCTTTCGGAGACGGTAAACTATCATTGTTGAATCCGATTTGCGAAAATGCAAATGAAAACGATGATCCGCCGCCGCCATCTTGTTTCATAAATACGCGAGAAGTGCGTGAACCGCGTCCCCCAGGCGTCGTCAACTTTAAATCGTATTTAGTTTTGCTTTTTCTGCAGCGGTTCGAAGCTGAATTTTTTCTTTGAATCTCTTTTTTAGAAATAGCTCTGATTCCTCGACTACTGGTCAGCGAAGTTAGGACAGAGGAGTGGTTCACGTCGACAGCTGGAAGTCGAGGGGTTTTTTCTTCTCGGTTTACAGATTTGAAACTAGATCCAGCTTTTGAACGCGCACAAGGAGCCCGGAACCTCCGAGCAGGAAAGTTCTTCTTATCATCCGATGCCGCGTGCTTTTTAGGAGACTTCGGAATTTCTTTCGCGAACTGGTTGAAGCAGGAGTAGTTTGCGACGTAAAAATTTGAAAATTTGTGATTCGTTTCTCCGCGGAAGCGATTAAACCCGAGGTCCTTGTTTTCCGTGGATGTGAAATCGTAAGGGTTCCTGTGGTTTGTGTTCGTGGCCGTTGAAGTCCGTTCTAAAAGTTCGTTCCTCTTCATAACCATTTTTCCTGAAACAGTTCCGGTCTCGTATTTTTCCGTAGAATTGAATATTCCGTACGAACGCTCCAAACGAACGCGTTCTTTACCGTGTATCGAGCGATAGAAGTTTTCTCTAGTATTTTCGTTCATCTCGACTCCAAAATTGATAGGATTCAGAGACGTAAATGGCGACCAGCTTTCTTCGACGTCTTTCTTCTTTCCAAATTCAAAATTTGTGGGACTCAGAAACGCGGATCGTGACATTGGTGTATTCCACACCGTCTCCCCCAGATGCAGAAAATGTTCTGCCCAGCAATAGCCAAGAGCTACCTCTTCCTGGTACATTTTGTAGATTCTGCGCCAATATTTGAGCGTCTCTCGTATCAGCGCAACGAGATCTATCGCTTCTTCAGACGCGGCCGCCAGCGGGAGAAGGAGGAGCGACAGTACGAGGACCGGCGGAATCGTTGGTGACATTGATCCTTATGTAAATTCACTGCCTGTAGAAATAAACTGCGGGAACGAGCCTTGTCAGCGGGAAAGTCCCTTTTTTCACGACTTAAATCAGGAATCATCCGGCTTTGAATCGTTGCGTTCACGCATTCTACTTCGCTCCTCGCGTGGATCCTTCATCCCACTGCGAATTCACGCGCGGCCACGAATGAGAACCTCTTCAGTTACTCTTATTTTAAACGTCGCGAACGTGTCGTTCGCTCCGTTCGATATTTTACGATAGCTACCAGCTCCGGCACGGAAGTTGCGAAAGCGCTTGTTTGAAATTGTTTCTTCGGCTTTCTCCGCTTCACGGCTGCGTTACCATTCTTTCATATTTTTCCTAGAACTTTCGTTTGCGTCGACGTGCTTCCTTCGCCGAGAGAAGGAATTGATGAAAGTTCGGCGCAATCGATTCGGATGCATTTCGAAACTGAACTGTTTGTAAGAGTTTCCTGTAACAGTAAAAGCTTGTAATTTTTATTGTTTTCGGTAATGTTGTTTTGGGTGGTTTTTGATGAAAGAACTTATTTACAGTTATTTTTGCACTTTGCAATATATTTATATTTAAAACAAATTTTCCTACTTGATAAAACTAAGTAATTTGAAGTGCTTTTATATTAATCTGATTTTTATTATTGACGCTTTTGTATCCTAAAGGTAGAAGAATGATTTCCAGTTATTAAGTAGTTAATGTCGCGATACTATTTTCTGGACCTTCTGATTAATGTACTAATTATTGAAATTAATAATGTTTCAAGCCACTAATCATTTCTTTCATGTATCATTATAACCTTAAAATTGGTTAATTATTAAATTGTAAAATTATTAAAATGTTTTAATATCTTGAATCTTTAGTTACATCCTAATAAGAATTGGTTGATTACGTACAAAGTGATGATAGAATTGTTATAAAATTAATAATTCTTTGTATTAATTGTATCATACATCATGCGATTATAATTATTTTAAATTGGTCTAATCAGATATAAATAGTAGTTTTTCCATGTCATGGTAATGATTGCAGTTATCATATTTATAAAATGCGCAAACGTTTCTCAATTACTTTTTACAACACGATTAAAGTTAGCTTCATACAACAGAGTTTGATTACAATGAATATTACTTACATTATTACATTATTGTACGTTAACCGAAAAAATATCGCAATATAAATATGATCGACTACATATTTCTCACTAACTTAACAAATTATATAAAAAAATTGATCTGACTTTAAAATTAATTGTTCATTTATAGTAAAGAATATTAGCATACCAGTCAATATTTTCTGAATAAAATATGCGCATTAAAGCTTCATAAGCTTGAGAATAATCAACACAGAACTTTCATAAATTTTGAGCAATACATAACTTATGAATTTTTTTACATTCAGAATACATCAGAATTTTTCAGAGGAAGTACCATACATTTAAATAATTGCTTTATAATATAATAAATACGTTCGCAATGAAAATATAATCCCATGTAATTCAATTTTTTCGAATTCTTTACTCAGATTAAAATTTTAATTAATCTGCAAACTTTATATAACAAGAATATTTTAAAGAATTATGAACTTATATAATTGAAATGATAATTGAATGATAATTTAAAAAAATGTTTGAACATTTTTTAAATTAAACTAAGAAGCTTCAAGGCCTTTATCAATATATGTCAAAAAAATAATGTTCACTTAATTTATAACATATAAAGAATCAACTGAAGACATTTAATTGGGTTTTCTGTTCCGAAAATTACGAAAGTTCTATATACATATACTGTATATCACTCAATTTAAGAATGCTTATAAAAAAGGCTGTAAGTGACAAACATGAAATTTTCCAGAAGAAAGAGGAAAGTTACCTAAGATTACATTAAATATATTGTATTGCTATGTCATAATAATGTCACCTTTCATAATCACCAGTATTACTGATGACTATATAGCAAAAGAAAATTGCGCTGAAATTGTATATTACAGGATAATTAAAGAAGAAACAGAATTTTCCAATTTTAGCACTTACACTGTTTTCCAAAAGAACTCTTCAATTAATGAAAGACGTTACTACCAACGAAGATATCACTGTGAGTTACTCGCGAAACTGGCTGCCGTTTTCGCCGAATTACTCGCGGTGAATAGCGGAGGGTGTGTTTTGAACGGATTTTGCTCTCGTGAGGTTGAACGATGAACTGACTGGTCTATGCTTGGCGACTGCCGTATACCCGTGACGGCAATTAGTGTCCGCGCCAAAAGTGCAGAAAGTGAACAACCAGCCTAGTAGAATTTCCTGCGTCGCATGGTGCGTTCTTCCAGCTGTGTTGGTGTTACGTGACGTCTTAGCTATAAGACAGAGTTAACGGGACGCGTTCGGTTGAAACGAGGATGGGGCAAAACTGCATTCCTCATTTAAACTGTAGCATTTGGTTGCAATATTTGTTGATGCAAAATTGAGCAAGAAAGACATTCGATTTTCAAATTGACATTTTGGTTCTTGTAATTTTTTGGACGATTTTGCATGATTAATCAAAAGACAATTGTAATCCCTCAATAGAAAATGTGTGAATGGAGGAGTTTCTACGAGTGTAGTTAACATATATTCTGTAAAATTTAATTGTTTATATTTATTTTGTAAGTTGATATTATATGCACTTAATGTATACAAATATAAATTCATATTCATTGAAAGTTATTATTTTAGATTACTGTCTTTCGTTGAAATAATTTCTCTTCTTAATGAGGATTTTGTTATGGAAAATTCATTATTCGTTGAAGTAACGAAGTATAATGTTATAGGTCTGACGCTACAATAAAACAATTTCGGACAATAAAATTGTTCGTTAATTAAAATAAAGAATAGAGAGGACAACATAAAAAACTTCTAATAAGCTTGTAAAAAATAAGGAATAGCGGGTGGCATAGTTTTCTTGTTTTACTTTCGTTTGTTAATCGTTATTACTGGAAATGGTCCCAACCTTTTGAACGATGGTGTATGTACATCTTTTAATATTAATTATCCTGAGTTAAACGCGAGACTAGCGTGTAAAGTTAATAGAAGCATCATAAATATCTACATGTTCCGTTAATCCATTCCGACCGATAGTGGATTATTATTATGAAATATTTCTTATCGTGAGGTGTTTCATGCAAACGAGTTAATTGAAATCAAATAAAATTAAATATTCTGCGACCTGCCTACATAAGTTGTATTAGCAAATGAAAGTAAAAATTGTAAATGTAGTAAAAACAGTTGATATTTTGAAATAACCAGTTATGTGCAAGTAGCAAATAAACATTTAATTAGTTTAAACTGATCCACTGATATTCAGATACTTTGTAATTTAATAAAAGTAAGATCATTCTTAATTGTTAATTATTTTATGTTTTTATCGTGGTGTAACAATAAATGTATACTTTTATGTTAATATAATTTAATTATGTAATTAATATAATTATGTTTCTTATGTTCATTTAGGAAAATTTTCTGACTTAATTTTTTTAAGGTTATTGTATTTTTATAATGATTACAATGTTAATAAAATTGATCCTATTAAGACTTCTTAATTCTTTGATATTAACAATATGAATTACTAAAATAAATGTTGTTAAACTTCTGCTTATATTTACATGTACTGTATTTTAGTAGATTGAAAACCACGATCTTTCGAACGAAGTCTTATTCTTTGTATACTTTATGTGGGTAACAATTATGTATTTTTTATTCAGTATTTATTTGAATCATATATTTTTCTTTATTCAAACAACTTGCAAATCATTTTTAAATGAGTTTTAAGATAAAAAAGAATTATAAAGTAATGTGTCAGAAATTAATATTAATTAGCACTTCGTGAAATTATCAGGACCTACGAATAACAGCCAACAAAAATATTTCAAGTAACAAAGAAAGAATACAATTATCCAAATAAACCCTCATTCAACAAATGTTTCATTCAAAAACTTCCCATTCGAACGGCCATTACTCTAATTATGATCGATTAAAAATTTTAAATCTACCAGTTTTATCTTCCATATATAATTCAAAGAAAATTTCGCTTAACGCGGTTCGTCTTATCGGCACTAAACTTAAACAAACTCCGTCAAACTAAATTCCCCAGTCATTCGAAAAAAACCGCGAGGGAGGCATCATAAAAACGAAATGAAACTTTCCAGGCTTGCGCTGCGTCGTTCATTTCAGCGGCCACGCCGCTCCGTCGCACCCTCTCAAACTAATCGGCGGAACAGTGCCTCTAAAATCATCAGGTCCATGGGTAGTATCTCATTCTCCTTTCCCAAAACCGTGAAACTACTCCGTGATTCATCGTTCCCCGCGTGGTTCACTCGTCGAAACTCTGGCGGCCTTCCCAGCGGAGTTTACGGCGGCCAATCTCCTGCTTTGGAAATCCACACCGGGTGCTGGGCTGGTTCTTCCTTTTTTCCTCTCGTTCTCCCTACAGACCGGAAAAGAACAGACAGATACGGA